GGGCAGTGTTCAGACAGACTGACTGATAAATTATCTGTATTTCGTAGATTAGCAGATAATTGCTATCTATTCGTATGTAAATTATTCAGGTGCCATTGCACCTGCTCCGATTGGTTAGTGGCTAAGTAGCCAGGTGCTTATGAGTATATAGTAAGAAGAGTATTCAATTGTATTCAGTCTCGATTACAAACAACTCACGATGTATTGTTAATTTTTATAAATGTATAGTATTCTTAATATGGATGACTCCCAACGTCTACCCCTAGGTACATCTGACATTGCGTCGGGTACAGGTTTCCAGATGTTTTTCTCCTTTGACAGGTTTTTATATCTACTTTTACCAGGTGGTTGATGTATTCACGATGGGGCTTTGGCATCAATTTCGTGTATATTTACATAATGTAAGTGGGGGGGATAAATAAACATTGTAATAAACGCGTGTGGCTCTTGGGTGCTGCAACCACCGCATACCGCATTTCATGCTTGCTGTGTAATTTGTATGAATAATTGAAGTTGAGTATAGATATACTCCTCAGAATATATCAACATTTATAGATGAACAAATGAATCAATAGATGATCAAAGAACAAATCCATCAGTCTTGCAATATTCAAGAACAAGTCGAAAATCAAATTGCTAAAAGATGGAAGATGAACAATAACCTATATGATCCACACTGTCAACGAATGACAGTGAAGCTAAAAATTGAACAAAATATAATGCTTTCGATTAGTTACTATGGGTATGGTGGTCATGGTTGCTAAGGACACAACCACTTTCCTCATCAATGTAGTGGGCCTCATCAATTTGGTGGTACATGTATACTTGTATCTGACAGCATGCTTAGAATTGTGTAACTGTATACAACATCAATGATGTGAGTTGGGTCTACTTAAACACTCATCAAACCATTGTGCTGATAGAGCAAATTATTTTAGTAAACTTTGTGTATTTTCAGTTCATTAGGTTTATTTGGGGGTATGGTTCTTACCTTAAAACTTGACATGGCAAACCTTTCACATGTTCCACAAGACCTCTGGATTTGTGACTTTTACTCAGTAATCTTGTTTTCTTCTCGTCACTTGAAAATACAATATTATAACAATTAACATTTCAATACAAGATATCCCCCAACTCTTGAAAATTTAGTTAAATGAAAAATTTAATCTGTGTGTGATATTGCTGATCACTATATTTGTTTACCAATAGCACTAGAGCTTAATCTCCAAGATGATCAATTAGAACAGTTTTTGGGGCATGCATTATACTGGTACATTGTCATACATTGTTTGACCTAATAGCATTCATTGTTGGATGTTATTGGAAGATTTCATTGCTGACGCACTGTTTGAAATTTCTTAAAATTGTGTACCAGACACCAGGGTACGCAAAAGTTCACAAGGCCTGCTAGAAAGTTATTACCGGTACCCTGCCTTAACAATTATTTTTAAATACCTCTATTCTTATTCCAGCTAAGCACACCAGCTAAGTATTAGCAAAAGTAAATAATGACAATAGCAATGTGAAAAATTTCAGTGTCACTTCCATGTAGAGTCTGATTTATAATTAAAATATTCAATTTAAAATGTTATGATCTTTGTATTAGTCATACTTGTAGAAGGACCTCATATTATTTAGTTAAGCTGCATGTTAAAAATTTTACTTGAAGCAAACAATGAAAAAATGTCACCAGACCACTGGGCATCCAAGTTTTAATTTATATCTGACTGGAAAGTTTGCCATCTTGGCATACAGACAGGCAGTAATTACAAACACTGGTTAACATTGAATATAACAGCGAAACTGGGTAAAACATGTATTACTTTCATAATGCATAGACATCCGCTATAACACTGTGACATTCTGTGATATTTTGAAATGTGAATTGGTCATGTGATTAAAATGTTATTTAATTGTGATCCTGAGTGAATTGGTCTGAATGTTAGGTTTGAATTAGAGGATTTAATTAGTGACTAAATGAAAGTAATCAATCATTCACTAATATCGATTGTTAGTACCTATAAATGTAAGTGTTAAGGTCCAACTGGCATGCAAGGTTAGTCACAAATGTGCAACTTACTTTTCAAGTTCATCCCATCGGAAATCTACAGGCCAGGCTTTAAAGTGAAAATCATACTGCGATAAAAGTTTCTGCAGAAAACAAAAAAAACATAGTGAAAGTCATTTTTCAAGTGATATCACATGATATATCAGGTGATGTATTGGGTGATATATCAGGTGATGTATTGGCTGATATATCAGAGGATGTATTGGGTGATATATCATGTGATGTATTGGGTGATATATCATGTGATGTATTGGCTGATATATCAGAGGATGTATAGGGTGATATATCAGAGGATGTATTGGGTGATATATCAGAGGATGTATTGAGTGATATATCATGTGATGTATTGGGTGATATATCAGAGGATGTATTGGGTGATATATCAGAGGATGTATTGGGTGATATATCAGAGGATGTATTGAGTGATATATCATGTGATGTATTGGGTGATATATCAGAGGATGTATTGGGTGATATATCATGTGATGTATTGGCTGACATATCATGTGATGTATTGGCTGACATATCATGTGATGTATTGGGTGATATATCAGAGGATGTATTGGGTGATATATCAGAGGATGTATTGGGTGATATATCAGAGGATGTATTGGGTGATATATCAGAGGATGTATTGGGTGATATATCAGAGGATGTATTGAGTGATATATCATGTGATGTATTGGGTGATATATCAGAGGATGTATTGGGTGATATATCAGAGGATGTATTGGGTGATATATCATGTGATGCATTGGGTGATATATCATGTGATGTATTGGGTGATATATCAGGTGATGTATTGGCTGATATATCAGGTGATGTATTGGCTGATATATCGAAGAATGTATCAGGTGATATATCATGTGATGTATTGGGTAATATATCATGTGATGTATTGGCTGATATATCGAAG